TGTCCTTATTATGGTGCTGGCTACATAACATATTTTCAAAACTTAGAAACATGGGTGATATAAATAAGAAAATTTTACTGTGTGTAAGTTATATTTCAAATTAAACTACTACACTGCCTTTCCCCTTGAAACCAGGCTGTGCTGTAGCTCAGGCTAGCCTGGAACTCTCTTTGCAGCTGACCCGTATCTGCAGCCCAGCTCTCATATTTTAAATCAGTGAAAGGAAAAAAAAAAAAAAAACCACCAAAGGTTTAAATCAACAAAAAATAGGGGGAAAAAAATGTATTTTAGAAATCAGTACATTTGATTCTTATTCAATATGCCAAAGTGTTTCTTTTTCAATTAAATAGCATGTAGAAGTCAACCATACAAATTAACTACAATTTATATAATTTCCCAATGTCAAAAAACCTAAAACTTAGAAACCATATTTAAGACTATCAAAGTTGGTAAAATTTGACCCTTTAAAGATTAGATATTTCTGCATGTCACATGTAAAGTCAGTTTGGGAGATAGAGGCTTAAAGCCTGTGACACAGTGAGTTCAAGGTCAAATTGAACAGCTTTGCAAGGCCATATCTTTAAAAAAAAAAAAAAAATCAGAGCTGACAGGATACTCTGCATTATCAAGAGTTTGGTGAAAACACAAAACAAAATTCTCAGGGGACTGCGGATGTGGCTCGTTTGTTAGAGTCCCTGACTCACGTACAAGGCCCTGGTTCCATTCTCAGTACCGTGTGACAGCACATTCCTATAATCGCAGCACGGTCAGAAGTTCAAGGTCATGGGTTCAAAGTCAGCCCAGCTATGAGAGACCCTGCCTCAAAACAAAACAACAAAACCCATTCACTTCCCACTAATAGAAAAATCATTTTTGTGCCTTTCTAAGAAATAGTTGAGAAGAAAACTCTCGAGAATTTTCAACATTAAGCCAGTTATAGTTACTCAAATATGCAATGCAGTCACTTGTGAGATGGAAGCAGGAGGTTCAGGAGTTTAAGGCTAGCCATAAGTTTGTGGCCAGCCTGGGCTACATAAAGGGGGAAGAAGGAGTGGGCGAGAAGACCTTTAAATATTGACATGACACCCTGACCCTACCTGTTTGTTCTAATACAACATTCAAACAAACACATTGTTTCAATGTTTTATAAAAAATATAAATCATACTATTACATGAACAATAAAAATAACTGATAATCTCCTCAACAGTAAAGACAAAGCAATTTATCTATAAGGTTGAATGTTCAGAGCTGTGAGAAAGACTCTTAGAACTTCAATAACAAAGAAATGCTTGCCAACCAAATGATGTGAACAAGAACACAAGGCTGGGAACATGGCTTGGTCAGAGGACAAGCTTAAGATGGCTTAGTCACACAGCATGAAAGACCCACGTTTGTGCCCCAGCATCAATGTAAAAGCCAGGAACATGCCTAAAACGCCAGCACTGGGTACAGGAGGGACCTCTAGCTCTCTGGGTGATTCAGTAAGAAACCCTGCCTCCAAAAATAAGGTGGAGAGCAATTGAAAAAGATACCCAATGTCAACGTCTGGCTTCCAGGTGGGCATGTGTACACACTCACACGTATGAACACATATACAAATACACCTACACACATATACATGAAGCTCTATGCATACATAGTGTGAGCCCACATACTTTTTTATAAATTCTTCTTTCAAGAATCTGTTGTGCTCCAGCATTGAACAAAACACAATACATTGCATTGTCTTCCCCCGTGGCACATAACCTAATTCACAGCTTCTCTGATATTTGTTGAAAGGAAGCTTTTAAAAATAAGCTAAGCTACCTGGCAGTGGTGGTGCACACCTTTAATCCTAGCACTTAGGAGGCAGAGGCAGGCAAATCTCTGTGAATTTGAGGCCAGCCTGGTCTACAGAGCGAGTTCCAGGACAGCTAAGACTACACAGAGAAACCCTGTCTCGAAAACAAAACAAAAAGAGCTATGCCTTAATTTGGACCAGAAGTGACAAGTAGCCTCCCTCCACCATCCCTTCTCTGTGCTCTGTAGCCCAGAAGAGAAACAGCAGGATTTGGAGTCTGATGACTCATTATCTGAAGAGGTCAGCAAGGCCGGTGCTGATGAGAGACCCAGTACACACAGCCTCCGGTGCTTGCATGGGCAAGCCGCTTACCAAACAAGCTGGCAAGGAAAGTTGAAACTATGAAAGTGAAAGGATGTTAAGTGTTAAAACCCACATTGTGAGTTAGGGCATAGCATAGTTGGTAGAGAGTTTGCCTCCTTGATTGCATGAGAAAGCCCTGGGTTCAGTCTTGGCTAAGTAATGGGTTCAAGGTCAGCCTGGGCTACCTAGGACTTTGTCTCAAAGATTAAAATAAAAGTTAAAGTTCAATGCAGTCAACTTCTGAAACTACTGGTGTAACATCCTGGCCCATCTGAGGCTGTTTTAAGAAACTAAGCAGCAATTTTTAATTACTGAAAACTACCTGTGCCAAAAACACAGAATCCAGTGAAAGGACTGTATGGGCATTAAACAATTGTTTGGGCACTAACTTTCCTTTGTGCATATTTAGAATATGGCACCCTGGCTGCCATGACAGAAAAGAGTAAGGAGGAAATTGTATCGTCAACAATGGGCAGCTATATCCTCCAGGTCCACAGATATTCCAAGCTGCTATGTATTTCCTGCCGGCAAAAGAGAGTGGCTTCTTTTTAAAGGCTATAGCTACTTGCAATAGGTAAAAGATTCCTTGAGAAGTAATTCTGGAGTCTCAGAAAGATACAGGACTCGAGGCCTAGAGGATGACTCAATCAGTAAAGAGCTGGCTACAGAAACTGAGTTTGGGTCCCCGGTGCCTATGTGACCAGTGAGGCAGGATGCTGCGCTCTACAACCCCACCTGGGGAGGCAGAAACAGGAAGATCCCTGGAGCCCAGTGGGCAGATATCCTAACCAAATTGTGAGTTCTAACTTGGTGGGGGGGGGCTTGTCTCAAAAAGTGAGGTGGGGCCAGCTAGATGGCTCGGCTGGTAAAAGTTTCCGTCACGAGACCCTGGAGACAAGAGTTTGCCTCTGACCTCTCCATTCAGACCACCGCTATTGCTGCAGTGACTACAAATAAAAATACTTAGTGAATATATTTCACCACTACCACTCCATGAGTACTTCCACTGCATGGAAGAGGACACAGGGTGGTGGTAAATTCGTAGGGGTAATAAAGAGCCAGGACAAACAGGTGGCCATCTGTACAGGGAGCCATAGAGACAGAGAGATGGCGCTTTACCCCACGCCAATCCCCAGCCTTTCTGGAGTCACCAGTGTTTCTCTGCTTGTGGTAAGTGTCCTATTAATCTAGGATAGCCAGTGGACAAGTTAACTTGTCACTCTCACACTAATAATCCCATGTTGTTATTAATTAGCTGAAAACTGGGCAGAAAAGGCCAGGGATCGCCTGAGAGGAAGCTGCAAGGGAGAGGACAGAGTAACGGAACAGAAAGAAGCCAATGGGAAAGCGGCTGAGTCAAGTGTTCGTGGGAAAGCCCAGAGACTCAGATTCAGAGTTCCACGCCTGTAATCCCAACAGTGGGAGGCAGACACAGCAGGATCCCCATAGCTTGCCTGGGCAATCAGCCCAGTCTAATCCACAAACTCCAGGTTCAACAAACAATGATGAAAGAGCTGGGGAGGCTGTTCAGTGATTCAGGGCACTGGCTGCTCTTACAGAGGACTCAGGTTCAATTCCCAACACCCACATGGCAATTCATAACCATGTAGAACTCCAGTTCCAAGGAATGTGATGCTTTCTTTTTACCTCCCTGGATAACAGGCATATGCATGGTACACAACATACACGCAGGCTAAATCTTAACACATATAAAGTAGAATTGTGTTCTATAAATAAAGTTGAGAACAATAGAAGAGAATACCTCATGTTTATCTGTGACCAACACACACACGCACACACACACACGCATATGTGCTCCTACATATGCACACCACTACACACATATGTATATGTGTTCCTCCACACATACACATGCACCCTTCCACACACATGCACATATGCATACATGTGCTTCTCCATGCACATGCACCCTTCCACACACATAAGTGACTTCAATACATGAGGGTTGGGAGGAGAGGCGACCAGTGAGGTAGAAGTAACGAAGACAGTCAGGCTGAGTAGCCTTGAAGCCAGTGTGCGCAGCTTTAAAGTTCATTTAAAAATGGTAACAAACACACACACAAACCCCACAGGCTCTGTGGGGTAAGGCACTTGCTGCCAAGCATGGCAATCTGAGTTCAAGCCCTGAGACCCACCCACATAGTGAAGGCCAGAACCAACTCCAGCACATTACTCTGTATCGCCATGTGTGTGCCCTCCTCCCAACACACACACAATAACAGAAAGTAAATAACTGCCAGCAAAGACTCTAGTGAAGGCCAAGAAGATAGTCTGATGCCAGAGTAAAAACTAGGGGATTGTAAAGGCGACTCCATCAATCCAAGGATGACCCACTTCTCAGAGTCCACTATAGTTAATTCCTCATTTCTGATCATTTCCATACATTATAGTTATTCTCTTCCCTCAGGAGACAGCCCACCATCATGACATAAGCATGCCCTATATTAAACCTAAGAAGGAATAAAGACAGATAGACAGACAGATACCTCTCAGAGCTCCCAGTGAGCACAGATTTTTTTTCCAAGCAGTATCTTGACAGGGTCGTAAACAGATATCTTCCTTCCTTTTCTAAACATCCCCCTTGCCCAGTTAGGTGACATACTGGTAAACTGACCTCTATAATCTTGAGGTTCTGGGGTAGAAACATGCAATCCAAGGACCCATACACCCCCACTCAGTCCACCTCCTAACACACATGTTTGTTCATCTGAGCTGCTCAGCTTCATGAATTGTACCAGCCAGGCCAACAGCAACACTTACATCAGGCCATCTCTGCAAAATTGCTTGCAAGCCAAAGTGTGAAAACTAAAGAAGTGGTGTGTCGTAGTCTTGTACCTTGAATGCTTCTTTTAAAAAAAGCCTTACATCCTTCGCACGACCAGACGCCATAGTGATACCCAGATGCATAATCGCTGCAGACTGCGCAGAAGTGAGCATCCCTCTTTGAACTCGGACTAGTAACGGGGCTGGCACAGCTGCCCCCACTAAGTTTCCTTTTCAGGGTCTCTCTGGGGGAAGCAAAGAAAACAGGCATTATAAAAGGACACAAAAGAGAGAGCAAGGGCTTCCAGAAAAAGAAAAAAATAAAATAAACAAGTAGCTTGAACTTTGCCAAACGTGAAGTGTGTCTTCTAGGATTAGGGATAAATCTGTTCCAGAAACCTGCCATCGGATCACAAAGAGCTCAGTATGCTTTTTTATTTGTTTTGTTTTTTTGAGACAAGATCTCTCCGTGCAGCCCTGGCTGTCCTGGAACACACTATGTAGACCAGGCTGGCCCCAAACTCAGAGATCTGCCTGTCTCTGCCTCTCGAATGCTGGGGTCAGGAAATACATTTACAAGTCAGTGTGCCATAACTTAGTACTCTTCTTCCAGAAATCCATCTCTTCCTACCACTTATTCATATACCACCCTCTCCCTCCACAGCCATTAACACTGAAAATCTTAAAAATTAGACTGAAATAACCCGTATTTGGCCATGCATTTAGAGTTCAATTTATTTTAACTTCAGAAATTTTCCTTGTTGGTCCTTACAAAGCACTGCCTCAGCTCATCCCTAGAGCTTATGTCCATTATCTTTCCTGGCTTCACGTGGCCACTTCATGGAAGTTGTAGTGTTACCATGGTTACTTTCATCTTGGAAACAATTTGTCATCAACAGTAAGTAACCCATCATTTTATAGTAAGCCTCTAATCTGGCTGTAAGAAACAAACAAACATTTAAAACCCAACACCCTCACCCAAACCAAATTGATATAAGTTTGATGCTTGTTGCATAATGAGAGCATCCATTACAGTGAACTTTCCCCCATAAGCACAAATGTTTAATAAAAACAGAACAGGACAGAGCAATATGTCTCAGGTATCCTAAGAAAGCTACAAAAGAAAGACCTTTGTCCAGCACATGTGTTCTTTACTAAACTGTAAAGTGAGGATCATGCCACCATCCACAATTTAGAAGACAGGACTTTACCTGTTCACAGGTAAGGTGTGTTCTAGTGATCTTGCTTCATACCAAGGACTCTTTTGAGATTCTGCATACAGAAGTGACGACTGGCAATGGGTGGCTAGAGGAGAGAGGTGTCCAGAAGTTGGCCATAACACATTTGGGCTTGTGGTCTGTCGAACAGGCCCACCTTCCAGGTTATTGGCACTGCTGGGAACACTATAATTCATCACAGCAGGACTATAGAATGCCATAGCTGGGTATTCATGACGGTTCTCTACGTAGGAGGAAGGGATATAGATGGGGCCATGCTCCAGCGGTAGGATGGTCTGGCTACAGTTGTAGGAAACAGGGGAATTAAGGCTTGATGGTGAGTTTTTGATATCCATGTCTTGAACAGGCAGCAGCTGAGAAAAATCCTTGTGAGAAGACGTGCAGACGGACATTATGTTCTCAAAGACTTACCGGCAGGTGGAATGCCTGCAAAGGAAAGCAAACGGTGCTTAGTTGGTTCAAGCTACAAGAGTAATTAATACACATTCATTTTAGCTAGGGACCATGGTGCTTACCTGTAGCCCCAGAACTCAAGGAAGCTGAGGCAGGAGGACTTCTAGTTCCAGACTTGCTTTTGGCTACAGAGTGAGAAACAGAGGAAAGGAAAGGGAAGGAAAGGAAAGGGAAGGGAGGGGAGGGAAGGGGAGGAGGGAAGGGAAGGGAAGGGAAGGGGAGGGGAGGGAAGGGGAGGGGAGGGGAGGGAAGGGGAGGAAAGGAAAGATGGCTCAGTGGGTAAAGTGTCTGCTGCTCAAGCTCGATATGAGTTCAATCCCAGAACCCATGGTGGGAAGTGAGATATCTTGAAAGCTGTCTATGGAGGCAAACACATACCGCAGTGCCCGTGTGCAGCAGGAAAAAAAAAAAAAAAGACCCAAAGACTGATATTGGGGTTCAAGCTGAAGTTCAGAAAAGCAAAGCAACTAGCCACTAGCTCTTACCTCTGACTCAGGCTGAAAGGGCTGATCCACAAGCTCTTCACCAAGCCTCAGCGTGGCTAGAGAATGAATGCCTCTTCAGAGACCTTGCTCCTGTCTTACACACCCCTATGAGTCCTGGGATCAAAGGTGTGCGCTACAATTCTCTTGGAGACTGATTCACTCTTGTGTAGGTCTGGGTGGCCTTGGACTCACAGAGCTCTGTCTACCTCTTAATCCTGAGTCCTAGGATTAAAGGTGTGGACCACCACCTCCCAGCTTCTGGCTGCTGGCATTAAAGGTGTGTGCCTGGCTTCTATGGCTTGTGGCTGACTTTGCTTTCTGAATCCCCAGACAAGCTTTAATAAATCATAAATAATATATCACCACACCATATGCCCACTCTTTTGCCTTCTCTCTGTCTGTTTCTGTATGTCTCTGTCTGTCTGTCTCTATCTCTGTCTCTAACACACGCAGAATTTTTAAAATTCAAGTATTCATATTATCTTAGCAATGCACACACACTTATTAGTATAGGACTATAAGTATATACTGGAAGATATATAAAGATATTGCCTACAAGGGGTGGAAATGTAAGGTGTAGAGAGATCTCATTTTTTTTTTTTTTTGAGACAGGTTCTTATGCCATCCTCAAACACCTTATATAACCAAAGATGATCTTCAATTTCTGATCCCTCTGCCTCTACCTCCCTCCCAAGTGCTGGGGTTTTATGTATTCATCACCATGCTGAGTTTGCACACTACAGGAATCGAACCCAGGATCCTACATCTTCTAACAAAGCCACACCCTCTCTCATTCTTTATTACTTTATTGTTGCTGATGACAACTACAAGAATTTTTTAAAACATTGTTATTTTACTTTATATGTATAGATGTTTTGCCAGCTGTATGGCTATGCACCACTTGTGTGCCTGGCGCCTACAGAGGTACCAGGATCCCCTTGGACTACAGTTGCAGAAGGCTCTGAGACACCAGGAAGTCGTCTGGAGAAGAAGCCAATGGTCTTAACTACTGAGCCATGTCTCCAGGTCTCAACCACAATAATTAATCACAAAATTATATCTAAATTTAAAAACACAGAAATACATAAAGGTATTTTCCCTAGAACTCCATAAGAGCAACTGTAAGCTGTTACTAAAAAATAACCCTAAAAGGGAACATTAGCAAGTTATAGTTTTAACATACTCAAATATGCTAGTCTACAATAACAAAAATGAGAAATGTATCACATAGTCTGACCATAGTATGACTTTGTCAGTCTATTTGAACTAAAGTTTAAAAGCAGCCCTCAATATAGGACTTATACAAAAATAAAAATAACAAAATAACAAAATTCCTCTAAGACCAAACTGAGCTAGATGGTTAGCTCAGAGGAGGGCGCTATTGAGACACTATGGGACAAAGAGGCTTGCGGCAACATCTGGCCCTGGCAGAGGCAGGTGGTATGAATGTAAGAATCCATTGTGGAGCTTGCCCCAGCCAAAGGCCCAGAATGGCAGCTTTGCAGTCTGAGTGGCAATGACCTCTTCATAGGCACCTCTCTGGACTATGACCCAAAGGTTGAACACTGCAGAGTCATCCATTGCACAAGACTTGACACCATGACAACTTACATGCTCTGAAGGCCTTCTGCCCTTGAGGGAACCTAGTTACCCACTTTGTGTGCATGGCCTGGTTACTGGCTGCCAGCCACTGAACTACATTTTAGAGGGGACCTCTAAATCCACAACCCTAGATCCTCTAAACCCCATGACATCACTTCCAGTCAGTGGCCAAACCTCACCTTGCCCAGCAAGTTCTAAACTCCTTCAAAGTTGGATATTCTCCAACTGGGTACTCTCCCTCAGCCCTAAGGGTCCAAAAGAATCTCTGCATAGTTCATACTTATCTTTCTCTCTTTTTTATTTTTTTGTTTTTCCAGACAGGATTTCTCTGTGTAGCCCGGGCTGTTCTGGAACTCGCTCTGTAAACCAGGCTGGCCTTGAACTGCCTACTTCTGCCTCCCAAGTGCTGGATGGAGCTAAAGGTGTGTGCCATCACACCTTGCTTATCTCTTTGTATATTTAGTATTTCTTAGTATTAAACTTCCCCTGTTGGAGACATCATATAGATGGATGTTCTGATTTGACCCAGACTGCTACACTAACAGAACAGGTAATCCAAAGATTCAAAGGTAGAGGGAATTTGGTAGATAACGACGAGGTCCTTTGGAAGACGAGCAAATGCTCTTAGCTGCAGAGCTGTTTGTTCCTCAAACCCCAGGAATATCTTAATCCACCTCTCACTGTGCTTGTGACATCAGTATTTCGGCTCCAAGGTCATACTTCAGTGCACATTTTGGCTGTATCATCAGAGCTCATCTGATGCTGCCGAATCCTTAATCAGAAACACATTTAGGACACTTTAAACAGTGCACTTTCTAACAACTGAGAGAAAAATATGTGTATGCTCTTGACATGCTTAGCAATTGTAGTTATACATAAAATTTGAATAGAATGATTAAAATTTAATTTTTTTGAACATTCAGAAAAAAAAAGTAAAGAGTCAAAATGACAGGTCCAATTCAACGAATAAAAATTATGTCCAAAATTAAGTATGGTCGCCATACTACCTTTTTAAAGATTTATTTGTGTGTGTATGTATTTATTTGTGTATGCACTGCACACATGTGTATGTGGTCATGTATATGCAAGTACATGCACCTGTGTGCACCCATGGAGGTTGTTGGGTGTCCTCCTCTATTCTATCCCCACCCAGTCCTTATCTCCCTAAGCCTAGGTCTCAAGTTTTTCTCTGTAATGATGTAAGCCCAAAACCCTAGTCTCCTGTCTCCATTCTTCTTGGAATTGAGATTTCAAGCATGCATGGGGTATCTTAGCTTGTTACACCAGTGCCAGGGTTAGAACTTTGGTCCTCGTGATTGTACTTTTAGTCACCGGGTCATCTCTCCAGTCCTGCTTTTGTTGTTTGTTTGTTTGTTGAGTCAGTATTTTATGTAACCCAGGCTGGTACTGAACTTGTTATGTAACTAATGATGACTTAGAACTCTTCTACCTCCCCAGGTCTGCAAGTAAAGATGTACACAACCATGCCAGTATATGTGGATCAAGTCCAGCTTTGTGCAAGCTAGACCCTCTACCAATGAACCCCATCCCCAGCCCATCCCCAGCCTTCCTATACAGAGCATCACTGAACGACCCAGGCATGGTGGCACACGCCTGTATCCCTAGCACTGCAACGGCAATGGCAGAGGCCTGAGTTAAAGCTGCAAGTGTGAGGCCAGCTTGTTCTGCATATTGAATTCCAGGCCATCTGGAGCTATGTATGTGACCTTTTCCAAAAAACAACAACAACAACAAAGAAAAACAAAAACAAAAAAAATTTAAAAAACACACACACAAAAATGCCACCAAATCTTTTTGATGTAAACCTCTCACCATAAGGACCAAACACAGTGCTCTGAATTGTCAAATGAAAAGTAATCAAATTCAGGAAATTATAAGCCAAGAGAACAGTAAAACTCAAACAAATTTGAGCAAAGGACTTCAAGATGATAAAGTTGCAAAAATACAATTAAACGGTGAATGGTTTGATACAATTTTAGCATTGTGATCAAACAAGATCATACTGAGTCTACAGGGTCCTAACTTTTCACCTTCAAGGTCAGCAGACTCCACCTAACAGCCATCAGAAACTTCAACTGTGCTTTCTTCTCATCAGAACTCTTATTTAAGATTTGCTTACTCTTATTTTTCTGTGTATGAGTATTTTGCCCATATATGTCTGTGTACTGAGCATATATCTGGTACCCAAAGAAATCAGATCTCCTAGAACTGTAGTTTTGTAAACCACCACATGGATGCTAGGAATTGAACCCTGGTCCTCTGAAAAAGCAATAAGTGCTTTTAACAACTGAGTTACCTCTCCAGCCCCTTCATCGGGCCTTTTAAGAGGCATGAAGTAAATGGGTTGAGGAGGTAGCTCAGCCAGTAAAGTATTTAATCTGCAAACAGGAAGGTCCAAGTTCAATCCAAGAATCCATGGAAAAAGCTTCATGATGGTCCATACCAGGCCAATGACAGACTCTGTGAGACAAATGAGAATTCTCAGCAGGTGAAATCACTTGCTTTATAAACAGACTGACTTTGATCGTCAGAACCCACAGAAGAATGGGAGAAAAGTTGTCCTCCAGCCTCCAGACACATGCAGCGCCATGGCATGCACATAGACATCATACATACTAACACATAATAATAATAATAACAATAATAATAACAATAATAATAAATTGGGCTGGACAGATGATTCAGCAGTTAAGAGTGCTTGCTACTCTTTCAGGGGACCCAAGTTCAATTCCCAGCACCCACACCAAGTGGCTCAATACTGCCTACAACCCTCGCTCCAGAGGATCTGACACCTTCTTCAGACCCCCCTCCCAGGAACCACATGCATACCCATACACATATCCCCATACATAAACAAATAAT